CTGCTAACCAAAAGGTCAGCAGTTCAAATCCACCAGCTGCTCCTTGGAAACCCTATGGGGCAGTTCTACTCTGTCCTATAGGGTCGCTATGAGTGGGAATTGAGTTGATGGCAATGGGTTTTGGGATTCTTCAAAATATCCTGTTTTGAAATTACTTGGCTTTATTTATTTTTTCTTTAATCCCTGCAATGTGACAGCACACTCCCCCTTTCCAGCCCAGGTTTCTTGTGTCCATTCAACCAGTTCCTGTCCCTTCCTGCATTCTCATCCTGCCTCCAGACAGGAGCTGCCCATTTGCTCTCATGTATCTGATTGTACTAAGAAGCATATTCTTCATGAGTATTATTTTATGTTTTATAGTCCGTTCTAATCTTTGTCTGAAGAGTGGGCTTCAGGAATGGTTTTAGTTCTGGGTTAACAGAGTGTCCAGGGGCCATAGTTTCAGGGGTTCCTCCAGTCTCTGTCAGACCATTAAGTCTGGTCTTTTTACGTGAATTTGAGTTCTGTACTACATTTTTCACTTGCTCTGTCTGGAACTCTCTGCTGTGTTCCCTGTCAGGATGGTCATTGGTGGTAGCTGCGCACCATGTAGTTCTTCTGGCCTCAGGCTGATGTAGTCTCTGGTTTATGTGGACCTTTTGCCTCTCAGGCTAATATTTTCCTTGTGTCTTTGGTGTTCTTCATTCTCTGCTCCAAGTGGGTCAGGACCAACTGATGTATCTTAGATGGCTGCTCGCAAGCTTTAAGACCCTGGATGCCACTCACCAAAGTGGGATGCAGAACATTTTCTTAATAAGCTTTGTTATATCAATTGACCTAGATGTCCCCCAAAACTATGGTCCCCAGGCTCCAGCCCCAGTTACTCTGTCCCTAAAAGTGTTTGGTTGTGTTCAGGAAACTTCTTACCTTTTGCTTTGGTCCAGTTGTGCTGACTTCCCCTATATTGTGTGTTGCCCTTCCCTTCACCTAAGATGATTCTTGTCTACTATCTAGTTAGGGGAATTCACTAGCAAAATTACTTGGTTTTAAAGGAATCAAACACGTTTTGAACGCCTCAGATCATTGACATTTCCTAGCATATGGTACCCATTGCCGTTGAATCGATTCTGACTCACAGATGTTAATATTTATTGAATGGGAGTATGATCCATAGTAAGTTATTATATGGTTAAAAATCCTTTGAGGCAAGTACCTTTTCTGCATAAAAGAAAAAATATACAGTATCTAAAATAGTTTGGGATTACAAGAGAAAATTTTGAATTTCCAGAAAAAAAAGAAAGACTAACCTTAGGCTATCCCAGTATTTCAAATACATATAATTTCCAAATAACTCAGTTTTTCTAACTTCTGTATAGTAGAAATAGTGCAGTTGGAAGGGAAAATTTATCATGTGGCTCAGATAACTATCTTCTAACCTGAAATAGCACTACTATTAGCTCACCAAGATTAAAACACATTGAATTAAAATCAGGAAATAAGTATCAGTATAATAACTAATTTTTTTTTTTTTTTACCTTTCAAAGCTTCTATGTTGTCAGCCTTTCTTTTGTATTCTTTTGTAACATTTCTGATTCTGAAGAAAGAAAAGATAATTTAAGGTGACAGTTTTCTTCAGTTTGTAACTCTGAGGTTGGTTGACAGATTGCATGAATCTTATCTTCAGGGTGTAGGAGGATCTGGGGGACCTTAGCTTTCATGCAGTCATAGCTGTCTGGCAGAATCAGCTGGAATCCCAACCCTGCCCTCACATTAGTTTCACCCGAGGAGTTTTTAAAAGTTGCCTATAATTGTAACCCATCACCAAAGATTCTTCTTCCATTGATTGAGGTCTGGCTCAGCATTGGAACTGAGTACCAGGATCATCTCTGAACTACAAAGCCAAGGAAGCTAGATCAAGGGATAATATGAGCATCCAATATTAAAAATCCCAGTGTGAACCACTAGCACAGAAGGTAACATCTCTGGTTATCTTGAGTCAGGATCACTAGAGGTTGGTTAGGGAGTGTACATTCTGGTTCGACCCCCCCTGCTGAGAATCTGCATTTCCACCCCAGATATACTGAATCAGAATCTACATTTTAACAAGGTCCTCACCTGGGGATCTTGTTAAAATGTAGATTCTGATTCAGTATAAAAACAAAACCCAAACCCATTGCTATCAAGTTGATTCCAATTCATAGCGACCCTACAGGACAGAGTAGAACTGCCCCATAGGATTTCCAGGGCTGTAATCTTTATGGAAGCAGCCTGCCACATCTTCCTCCCAAGGAGTGGCTGGTGTGTTGGAACTGCTGACCTTTCAGTTAGCAGCCAAACACTTTAACCACTGTGCCATGAGGTCGCCTTCTGATTTAGTACATCTAGGGTAGAAATGCAAATTCTCAGCATGGGGTTGAAACAGAATGAACTGGTTCCAAGCCCTGTAAGGAAGACAGGCAATGTATCATACTAGTAAGAACATGGGTTTCACAGTCCTACCCATCTGAATTCTTCCCATCCATACCAGTTAATAGCTCTGCTACCTTAACCAGTGCATTTATCCCAGATAAACTTCAGCTTTTGCAACCCGATAAGTCAGAGTAATTCAGGGTTGTTTTGAAGGGTAAATGAAATATTTCATGTTGTATGTGCAGTGCTTTGTTCATGATAAGCATTTAATAAAGAAGATAATATTTGGCTAGATGATTATTATGGTAATAGAAAGGAATTAAATTAACATGTTGGGTGCTGTTATAGGTCTTATGAACTTTATTTGTATCGTTTTATTCTACCAGGTAAGTATAAAATCCATAAACTGAATCCAGTTTACATCTTATTTTATCATCTTACTTCAACCTCATCACATGACTCAGGCTCCACTCATATTAAACTACTTAATTAGATTTTCCTGTTTTACGAGTCCTTGAGTGTTGCAAGTGGATAAACATTTGGCTGCTAACTGAAAGGTTGGAGGTTGGAGTCCACTCACAGGCTCCTTGGAAGAAAGGCCTGGCCATCTACTTCTAAAACAATCAACCACTGGAAACCCTATGGAGTAGAGTTCTACTCTCATGCGTATGAGTTTTGCCATGAGTTGGCATTGACTCAGCAGCAATTGGCAACTGCCCTGGTGGTGCAATGCTTAAAGCCCTCAGCTGCTAACCAAAAGGTCAGTGGTTCGAACCAACCAGCCGCTCCGCGGGAGAAAGATTGTGGCAACCGGCTTCCATAAAGCCTTGGAAACCCTATGGGGCAGTTCTACTCTGCCCTGTAGGGTTGTTTTGAGTTGAAATCGACTCGACAGCAGTGGTTTTTTTTGTGTTATCTGTGTTTTAATCCCATTTTACCATTTTTCCATAGATCTTGTAGTTGGGTGAGGTACTAAAGAGAATAGAAGAGGAAAAAAATCAAATAAAGCTATTAGTCTGCTCGGAGCTATTGTACTGGAGGTTAAACCCAACTTAGTTACAAAACGAATATAAATATGGAAGGTGAACATGGAATAGACTATAGTGAAAGATGAAAAGGCACTAGAAGTTCAGTAGGCTGTAGTAACCTGAGACAGTTCACGGAGGAGCTGACAGAAGCTGGCCACTTCTGATGGATAAGGTTTAAACGGTCAGGGACCTTGAAGACTTTCTTCCTATTAACTTGTTTAGAAATAAAAGCAATCCTACAAACACTGGGAGCGGGGTGGGGGGAGAAAATTTTGTTGTCACACAGAACGAAGATATGCACTCTAAAGGGAATATAAGGAGCCCTAGTGGTGCAGTGGTTAAAGCGCTCAGCTTCGAACCAAAAAGTTGGTAGTTCGAACCCACCAGCTGCTCTGTGGGAGAAAGATGTGGTCTTTGCTTCTGTAAAGATTTACAGCCGTGGAAACCCTATGGGGCAGTTCTACTCTGTCCTATAGGGTTGCTAGGAGTCAGAATTGACTCGATGGCAAAGGGTTTGTTTTTTTTGGTTTGGAAAGGGAATATCTTTCTGAATTCCTCTTGGGTCTATCTCTAGCCTTTCCTCACTTTTTCTTCCCTATTCTTTCATCCTCTTTTTAAAAAGCAATACACAGTGGAGGGAAGAGAAGTGAAAAAATGGAGAGAAAAATGGGGAGTATAATAAATGAGGTGGGGGCAAAGTGTGAAACAATGAGACCAGGCAAAGAAACGAGTGCAGCAGAGGACGGTGAAGAGAAACAACAGATAAGAGAAGGCTGTTCGAAGTCTAGGCAAGGGTTTTGTGGAATTATCTTTGCTGTGAAACCTAAGCTTTTATTTAACGTTGCTGTTGTTCTGGTTAGGTGCTGTGGAGTTGATTCCAACTCTAGGACCCCATGTGGCAGAGCAGAACTTCTCCATAGGGTTTTCTTGGCTGTAATCTTTACGAAGCAGGTCTCTAGGACTTTCTCCCGTAGAGCTGCTGGTGGGGTTCGAACTGCTAACCTTTTGGTTAGCAGCCCAGTGCTTAACTGTGTGCCACCAAGGCTCCTTTTTATTTAATGTAAATGTCTACAATATAAGCCAGCAAGGGGATTTTTCTTTAAACGTGAAGTAGGAAGTGAGGGAGGTAGCATGGGGTGAGCTTAAGCAGAAGATGTCTGCAGGGCACAAAGAGAAATTTGCTCAGTGTTATGCTTGAGGCAGGCCCAATGCTATTACCGTTGCTGTGGAGTCAATTCCGACTCACAGCGACCCTACAGGACCGAGTAGAACTGCCCCATAGGGTTTCCAAGGAGCACCTGGTGGATTCGAACTGCTGACCTTTTGGTTAGCAGCCAAGCACTCAACTGTATTAGCTTCTCAGAATTTGGCCCGTCCTCTGTTTGCATCCTTGTTACCTGATGGCTCCTTTACCATGGAACTCTGTAGACACTGGTTCAAAAGAGTCGTTAGATGAAAGATCAGAATCTAGTTCATCTTCAAGGGCCACCTGATCAGCCTTTTGTTGTCGTGACCAAAACGAGGACTTCAGGAAAAACAAGGGTGAATATCGATGTCCATAGTCATCTACATGAACAGGAGACAATTACTTGGTCAATCACCACTGTAAGGGACTGAGTCAGCTTAATGCAGCACTACTCTGATCCTCTTTGTCTCTAACCCTGAACGTATTGTCAACACAAGGTAATGCGCAGGTTTTGACATGAGTAGCATCCCCAGGGAAAAAATCACTAAAATATTTCTATTACTTGTTTCCTATACAAAGCAATGAAATGATGCTAAAAAAAAAAAATAATAATCAGGAGTAATTTAATTAAACATTAACAATTTTCACAGCCTCCAGAAGGCCAGATATTGGAATATAGACTCAAGATATGCTGTGCATGCTGAATTCTGTCTAGGAGACCATGCATGATTACTCTGGCAAATGAAGAAGAAATTGAGAGATGACTATTGGGTGTAGACAACAAATATTCCAAGATAAGATAGAGTAGAATTTAATAAAACTAAGTGACACACTATCCAAAAAGGAGAGAATGGGGCAAAATAATTTATTTAAACTTAACACAGAGTAGCATCAAAGAAAAAAGCTATTTTGTATTTATACTTTATCTCTTCCAAAGACAGTAATTTTCCTCTGAAGCAAATGTATGATCTGCTTTAAGAACGTGTTATTTGTGAACATCTTGCTGGAAATTAATCCACAGTGTTTACTTGTACTTTATCATCACTTCTCTTTTCCTACATGTTAGGAAAGACTGTGAAATGAATTATATTTGTCTAATATTCTGCAACATCCACTGAGAAGATGATGGATTTTCAAACTTCTGTGTACAGTCATTCATCCATGCAGTAAATATTGAATGAGCATTCTCTATATCCCTAGCACATGGCATATGATTAGACAGTGCTGTTAAACATTTTTATAGAGGCAAGAGTTAAAAGAGCTTCCCTGGGCCAAAAGCCAAATTAGTCCCAAGGCCATTTACAAAAAACACAATCTAAACCTAAGCACATTTTACTTATCAGCATGAATTAGCAGGAGTTAACAGTACTGCTTAGCAACATGAGTTAGAAACACTGGTCCAATCACGAAAAACCAGGTTAAAACCCATTGCCATCGAGTCGATGGTGACTCATAGTGACCCTATAGGACAGAGTAGAACTGACCCATAGAGTTTCCAAGGAGCGGCTGGTGGATTTGAACTGCTGACTTTTTGGTTAGCAGTCGAGCTCTTAACCACCGCACCACCAGGGCCCTAACTGTGTAAACTCCAGGCCCTTCACCATTTTCAATGGCGGTGCTCCCTGTTTTTGAACAGTTTCTCACTCAGTAAGCCCTGTTAACTCTAACTGACTCATTAATCAAGTTTTTCTTTTTCACAGTGCCCGTCTCTTCCCCTTGCTCAGAAGTCTAACTTTCACTTAGAACAAAGAAAAGCATACAGCCATAGTTGGGTACACTCTGCCACCAGACTTATTATTCACATGATTGTGCCATTTTTATCCAGTTAATTTTCTGCTGTCATTCTTATCTCTGAAGGAATTTTGAACAAGGTAACCTCTGGTTTTAAAATTCGGGCCTAATGAGTGGATGATAATTAGTAAGAAAAAGTAAATAATTTTGTTATTTTAGCTTAAAGGAATCTTCCAGTTATATTAATAAAATTACATGTTTTGGAAAATGGAAAAAGTGTACATGTGAAAACATCCTTGTGACTAGAAAAAATGCTGAGTAAGAATAAGATATAAGAATGAAGATGTAACACTTGATATAAGATGCTAAAACAATACCATAAAATTAGAATATTTTAAGTTATATCATCTTAACATGTTTGAAACAAGGACTGTGAAAAGATGAAATATATCACACGATGCACAAGGTATTTATCAACATCAAAAGAAAATTTAAATTGATAAGAGAAATCAGTTACCTAAGAGAATTCTATTAAATAATTGTAAATAGTGACATCTGACACTAGTTTGCCAATGGGTTAGGAATGAACACGATGGGGTGGGGGGGAAAAACCAACCAAATAGAAGAAAAATTTTAAGTAGGATGTTCAAGAAAAAGCAAAAAAAGAATAATTAGTAGTTATAAGCATCACAAGGAGCTCTGGAGGCACAGTGGTTAAGAGCTTGGCTGCTAACCAAAGAGTCAGCAGTTCAAATCCACCAGCTGCTCCTTGGAAACTCTGTGGGTTTCTACTCTGTCCTTTAGGGTCATTATGAGTTGGAATCAACTCGATGGCAGCGGGTTTTAGTTTTTAGCAGCATCATAAGAGTAAAGTTCCTGAACTAACAGTGTGCGAGGGATAAAAATTCTATGATTTAAACACAAACAAGTCACTGAAATTTCTCCGTAAAAGCAAAACCGCAGAAGTTGAACAGAGATAAAACAGTTAAATACATTTCTGAAAGAAGATTGTTACCAAGGGTTAGAAAGGCTTGGTTATTAGCAGATGAGAAGGAAAATATTTTTGTTATATAGCTGAATAATTTTTACCTTTGCTGGAAAAAATTAAAAAAATATATTACATCTACTCAAACAATTTCAATTATATAATGAATAGATCAGCTTATGATTGTAAATGCTGAAATCTTTTATTCTGGGCTCTTCCAAAAGGCACAGCCAGTTATCATTCTTAAGGGATTATCTAAAAGAACAACACGCTCAGTTCATTGCTCAGGGCCTTACTCTTCTTCTTCCCTGGCATCCGTCCCCTTTCTCCTCTTTCTACAAGTGTTTATTCATTGCCTTCTCAAGGAAGGGCCCTTGGCATTCTGTCTCAAACAGGAAATGCAGCGATGAAAAACAAGGTCCTGCCTTTGATTATAGAAAAAACAGCTGGTGTCCAGCTGATTCTGATTCATGGCGACCACATGTGTGCCAGAGTAGAGCGAAGCTCCATGGGGTTTTTAATAACTGATTTTTCAGAAGTGGATCATCAGCCCTTTCTTCTGCGGTGTCTCTGGGTGGACACAAACCTCCAATCTTTCTGTTATCAGGCAAGCGTGTGAACTGTTTGAACCACCTAGGAACTCTAATTACAGAAGATGGGATAGAAAAGTAAACCAACATTCCAGCCACCAAGATAGTGTTACTGAGTCCCCAGTGTACATTGGAGCTCTGGTGGCCCAGTGGTTAAAAGCTCGGCTGCTAACCGAACGGTCAGCGGTTGGAATTCGCCAGCCCCTCCTCGGAAACCCTATGGGGCAGTTCTACTCTATCGTATAGGATCATTATGAGTCGGAATCAACTCAACGGCAACGGGTTTTGGTTTGGTACTTCAGACACTGCAGTGGGCGCCTGGCTTACACCTATGGAAAAACAAACACCTGCTTTTGTGCAACTTCTATTCTTATAAGTTGCAAGGTGATAAAAATGGACATTTATGATCCAATGGCTTTCCTATTGTGAAAACTCGGGGGAGACTTAAAAATATAGATGCCCTGGTCCCACCACTGATTAATTGAATCAGAATTTCTCCTGGGGTTGGGCTTGGCTTGGCATGTCATTAACGTTCCCCGGGTGGTTCTGATATACAGCTGAGGTTCAGAACCACGGAGCTAAATAATTATGCAACCAAAAAAAAAAAAACCAAGCAAACGCGCTGCTGTCGAGTGGATTCCGACTCATACCGACCCGACACGACAGAGTAGAACTGCCCCATAGGGTTTCCAAGGACCGCCTGGTGGATTCGAGCTGCCGATCTTTCCGTTAGCAGCCCTAGCTCTTAGCCACTATGCCACCAGGGTTTCCAATTATGCAACAGCAGCTATAAATTTCTGTGATTAAGGAGCAGGCCAGACGCACTGAGGAACTAGCTTTCTATGCATCTATTAGAAGAGAAGGAAGTCATACCCTTAGAGTAGAGAGAAGTTCAAATAAAGGTTAGTGATTCTATAAACCAAGTCCAGGCTTTAGTTCCGACCCAGAAAGTCGCAAGAGGGACGAGTTCTGCCAGGGCTGATGACTGTGCTCATCTTGTCCTGTTGCTACACAAAGTAGTTCTTAAAATAGAAATAACGCACGTGCTAGGCCATCGTGTTTAAAGCAATAAGATGATTAAAATGATGTTCGATTTTAATCATATCACTACTTACTTGGCAAAACTTTTTCAAAGTAAATCGTCAATGTCAGATAGAGGAAAATATCAAACGCCAACATGAAATGTGTTGCTATGATTAGATTTGAGCCGTCCGCGGAGTCAGGAAATGCATTAGAATTCAAATCATAGTCCAAGTGTAGAAGCTGAAAATATAAAAGTAGTTAATAAAGGAAATTAGGTGTATGAGGAACTGTAAGTAATTAGCTTTATCTTTAAAGAAAACCAAAACAAACCCGTCGCCGGGGAGTCGATTTCGACTCATAGCGACCCTACAGGACAGAGCCGAATTGCCCCATAGCGTTCCCAAGGAGGGCTTGGTGGATTCGAACCACCTACCACTTGGCTAGCAGCCATAGCACTTAACCACCACGCCACGAAGGTTTCTAGCTACAGCATAGGAATGGCTATTTTCTGTCTCATACTAGGAACACAGGGGTAAATGAAGGAGACTACCTGCTGTAAAGTCCTCAGGTCTACTGGAAAGCGTGGGCACATGAACAACTCTAATATGATTTAGTAATCGCTGTGGTGAAGTCCCTGGGTAGTGTAAAGGTTAACATAGCTTGGATGCTAACTGAAAAGTTGGTGGTTCGAGTCCACCCAGGGGTGCCTTGAAAGAAAGGTCTGGTGATCAACTTTTAAAAATTAAAAAAACAAAAACCAAAACCAAACCTGTTGCCATCAAGTTGATTCCTACCCATCCCCACCCTATAGGACAGAGTAGAACTGCCCATAGTGTTTCCAATGAGCAGCTGGTGAATTCGAACTGCTGACCTTTTGGTTAGCAGCCATATCTTTTCACCACTGTGTCACCAGGGTCCACTGAAAAATCCCATGGAGCACAGTTCTGTCACACACGTAGGATCACCATGAGTCAGAATCCACTTGACAGCGACTGACTTTTTACGCTAAAGATATGTTCCCAATGAAATTAGAGCATTAGGAGGAGGTAGAGAAGCATGGGAAATGATCAGATTTGAGCTTGACCTTAGATACATTTTTACCAAATGGAACATGGGAAAAAGGTTTGGTGCTCCTTGAAGAGAGCTGCATGCCAGAGAAAATGCACCGATATGCTTGAGGGAGACTCAGTGGGTAAAGTGTTTAAGTTAATGAATACTTTTCAACGAAAAACTCTTGTTAAGCACTTGACAATGGATATGTACTGATTGGCATTACCATATAATTGTAGGCAAGGTAAGGTGAATCCAATGTAAGAATCAAATAGAGAAAACAAAAGGACATTTTAGGAATAGAAATATAATTTTCTAATCAATAAATGTGTTTTCAAGGTTTTATCTTGTAATTTAGTTTTATTTTACTTTTAGTTTTTACCATCATGTGTGCTGCTCAGTCAGTAGGTCAAAGTATGAACTGGAATAGTCAGAATTAGATTTGGAACATCAAATAGCCTAAGAAAAATGCTCTGTATTGTCTCTAAATAATTATGTATTGACCCTCCACTTTTTACTTACTGCATGACTTATTTTGCTGAACTAAATACTTCCCAAGCTTTTAAAGGTCATCTTTGCAACCTAGCAGTGTCTTCTCTAGGGTTTTAAATTTACAGCAGGGATCATGGAAATGATGACAGATTACTGAATTCCAGAGAGGAAAAATGTTTTGGAAATTTCATAAATGGATGATCACATTGATTCTCACCTGGGCCATTCCAAGCATGAAGGCAAAAGGGCTGAAAATGCTTAAAGTCCACTCCAAGGATGCAGGAAGGTGTCTGTACAACACTGTGAATCCCAGACTCCCCCAAAGGACAGTGAGAAGCAACACCAGCAGGCCAGTGAGGAAGGATTTCTTTACCAAGACGCTCATTAAGAAAGCCAAGGCTATCTAAAATGAGACAAGATCCAGTGGGTTTATGCTTCTTTGAGAAATATTCTTAGCATAAAAAAATAAGGGTTTTAATATACAAAATTATAGTTTGTTCTGCAAATTGTACTGCAAGCTGGCATTACAAAACACTACAAATCAAATTGTACCTGTCTACATGTTTTCTTATGCAAACAGAACAAACAAAAGGAGTAGATGGAGTAATAACCTGATTAGATACCAACACTTGTGCCTTAGGGCTGACAGTTGGGTGGAGAGAGATTTAATTCACCAACTCACCAAAGACAATCCATAGAGGAGAAAGAGGGTGAAGACCACCACAAAGCCAGTCAGGACGACAAATTGGGAAGATTTAACAATAAGTGTCACAAAAAAGGCCATGATGAAGATAAAAGCAGCGTAGAGCAAACCCCAGGATAGCCTAATGGGGAAACAAAGTGTTATTTAGTATTTCATGTTAAATTGAAAAGGAGGACCTGGACTGGATATCAACAGTAGTCATTCATTCTGCAGATATTTATTGAGTGTTCTAGGAAATGTAAATATAAGATAAATATTTTGGGCAGAATGCATTATTTGCCTCAGATCAATTCCAGAAACACACACACACCCCACTGTGAGCAAAAGGAAACAATAGGCTTCCAGTCTCATAGATTTTGGGTTAAACATTTTCTCTGCAGCATTCTGACTCTGTGGCCTCGGCAGAACTCTGTAACTACTCTAAGCTCCTTTATTTCTCTAAACAATGGACAATGAGGACTCAGTGAGGTGATGTCTGTATAGGACCTTGTCCTGGTACATGGTAACCCCTCAGTGAATCTCAGATCTTCGTTTCTACTATGGAGGCTCTCTGCGATAGGGAACTTCATGAATTACCATGGAAACAAGAAATTCTTCCTTATACGTAATTCTGTCTCTGTTTTTCAAAAAATCTGTTTTCATCTTTTTTTAAATGTATATACCAAATAGTCTACCTCGTTGTTGCATGCCATTGAGTTTAACCAGGTTAAAACCCATTGCCATCAAGTCGATGGAGACTCATAGAACTGCCCCATAGGGTTTCCTAGGCTGACGTCTTTTACAGGAGCAGATTGCCAGGTATTTTCTCCCATGGAGTAGGTGATGGGTTCAAATCGCAGATTTCGGTTAGTAGCTGAGCGCTTTAACCATTGTGCCCCTAGGGCTCCTTAATAGTCTACATACTACCTTTAGCTCCATTCATATTCTGTTACTAGAAGAACTAAAGAATGCTCCTCATCAATTCATTTCTCTTGTTTTTCAATATTGTTTGAAGTAATAAACAATGAAAACGACAACAATAACACAATAACTAACACCTATAGCAATTACTATGCCTCAGGCAGTGTTCACAAAATTTAGCAAACGTTAGATCACCTCATTGTCACAACAACCCTATGAGGAAATACCATTATTTTCTTCATTTTATAGATAAGGAACCTAATTACAAGGATGTTAAGGGTGTCAAGATTCTGACACGTTTGCTGTACTTTTAGTGCACAAATTCTCAGAGTAGTTTTACCCCTTCGTATACCTCAGTTGCCATCTGGAGGCTGATGACTTCCAAATCACTATCACAGGTCCAGCTCTCTCTCCCAAATTCCAAAACTGTTTACTTAGTTGCCCATTGCTACCATTTATTGAGTGCTTACAATATAACAAACCTTGTACTCAGTGTTTCACGCACGAGGATCTTATTAAATTCCTGTTAAAATCCTATTACGTAGGTATTACTAACAGAAACGGAAACTCAGTTTTGGAAAGGTCAGATAACTCTTCCAAGCAAAGAAGTTTCTGAAGTTGATGTGTCTGGCTTTTTATTATTTGCCTCTAATTTGGATATTTATTAAGGTCAGTATTCTCAAATTGTCCAAATCCGTGGCACTACCATATACCAAGGTAACCAAGCTAGATACCTAGGGGCTGATACAGTAGGAAGTCAATAAACTGGAGTAGTCGTTGATTGCTCTCACTTCCCACTTTTAGCCACCAGGTCTTTTCTATTCTAGGTCAAAAATTATCTCCAAATCTGTTCACTCTTCTCCATTCCTCCTACTGCAACCTCATCCTATGGTACCTTCATCTCTTGCTGAGACTTCTGCAACAGCTTCCTAATTGGTTTCTCTTGCTCCGCTTTTACTACATTACTGCATTCTCAATAATGAAGCATAAAAAAGTATATTGTTGTTTGTTGCCGTTGAGTAGTTTCTGACTCATGGCGACCCTATGTGTGCAGAGTAGAACAGCCCTCCATAGGGTTTTCAAGGCTGTGACCTTTTGGAAGCCGTTCGCCAGGTCTTACTTCCAAGGTGCCTCTGGGTGGGTTTGAACCATCAACCTTTCATTAGTAGTCCACTGCTTAACCATTTGCACCATAGAAATTCTATCATCTCTCCTCCAAAGCACACTGCTGATGATCCCTCAGTTTTCATAGGGCAAAAATCCATAGTTATTAATTTGGCCTACTAGCTCTCTATGACCTTGCTACTGATGGTCTATTCAACTTCCCCACGTTGCTGCTTCTACATGGAACACTCCTCCTCATCCCATGTCTCATTACCTAGTAAGACATTGTGGATTCCCAAAGTATCTTATTCTTTTTTCCTAGTTCTTACCACAGTACACTGTTTCTCTTTCCTCTAATCCCAGTGAAGACCTAAATGCTGGGATTATGCCCCATTGACCTTTCTATTCCAGTCCCTAGTAGAGACCTTGGCATATTGTATGAACACAATCATGTTTGTTGAGTGAATCAATCATGGATGAATCAGTTAATAACTTGAACTGACAAGTGCTCTGAAAACCATGGTGTTCTTCCCTCACCTCAGAGAAGGATAGCAGTGTCCAGTCTTTAGTCTAGTCAACATTATATCAAAGGCAATTTATTCCATTCATAGGGAAAGAAGAAAATATTGGAGAATCATTAGGTTTTGATAATGATGCTCTGTAGCTAGAAGAAGCCAACTTGTCTTGAGTTCGTCCATTTATCTATTTGTGTCACCTTTCACTCACCAGAATGCTGAGTCTCGAAGACCCATCATTGTCATCAAGCCCTTCATCTTTTTCCTCTCTCTTGTAACATTGATAGAGGCGTAGTAAGTGAGTGGGGAAAAGGCAAAGATGCAGAAGAAAATAAAGAAATCTGTCATAAGTCCTCCTTGACTAATGAAGGGATATATCTTCATAATTTTTCCAGTAGCTGACATTAATTCTTCCATCACTGAATGATTTGTTGTGCTCTGAAGAAAGATATTAATAAATAAAATTTGTATATTATTGGATGGCATGCTCCATATATATATATATTTTTTGAATCATGTCTTTTCCTATGCATGTATACGGATAGCAAGATTGTCTGGAGCTGATGTGAACCTAACTTTCTGCTTTCCCGTCATATCATTGGTCCACTTGTAGCCTGGACTCCAGGCATTCTGAGCTACTCACAGTTCCCGAAATCTACTAGGTATCTTATTATCTCCCTGCCTCATGCAGGGGTGGATTATCCACCAAGCAAGCTAAGCACGGGCTTACTTGTGCTTACTTATAAATCCATAGTGAACAATTCCACATTTTTTCACCACATCAAAGATTCTGCTTCCAGGTATGGCTGGCATCTGTCTCTCTCCCAACCCCACAGCACCTTCATACAGAATCAAGGCTTCTTTTCAGATTTACAATCCCGGACAGGGGCAGTTGAAATCCACGTGAAATTGTTCACTACAGATTAGTAAGTAAGCACAAGTAAGCCTGTGCTTACCTTGCTTACTGGGTCATCCTCCCCTGATAATATTGCCCCACATTTTGCTTGAAATTCCTCTTCTGACATTATATATTCAACAAAACCCCACCTCAAGCTTCAAGTTTAAATGTCGTTTCAATTAGGAATTCTTTCATAGCAGTCTAGACTCAGAATCTTTCACAAGTTTGCTTACAAAGACTTTATTTATACCACCATGATAGCCTATTTCTCCTCTTCTAATTTTCTTATTAGATGCCTGGCTTCCTGACGAGGTTGAGTCCTTAGAGGAGAAACTGTCTATTGTATTTATATTTATATCTTCTTGTCCTATGGCAGCTTCACTAAACTCTGTTATAAAGATATCAGTGAGCAAATGAAAGAAATGAGGCTATCTACTTATATAGATGCCTCCGATATCATTAATTTGCATTGTACATTAGTTTGTATTGAATGTTTTGCACTTACTTCTATGATAGCAGCATTAATGGCAGCTTGAAAAGCCACAAAACCTTTCTTCCAGAAATCTGAAATTCCACAGTCAATATCTCCATTGATTTCATAACAATGAGCTTTGGGAAAAGAAAAAAACTATAATATCGTCACAGACTCTCTCAGTCCTAATTACAGGAAGCAGTGGCTTTTACAATGACCCCAAACTCTAAATGTTCTTATGTTGAATCAAAGCCCATGAAAACATAAATTATGATTCTCAAAGCGGGGGAGGCAGGACACTCGTAGGGAATATTCTGCATTAAATTATAATACCCTCTCTATGCTTCCCCACACTATCTTCTGTGCTTCTCTGCCAGTGAAAGAGTTTGTTGCGCTCTTCTCTTTTATGATTTTGTATTGTGAGCAGAGTATTTTTAAAAAAATGCTTTTCAAAAGTTAGCAGAGTCTAATACGGATTGGGAAACACTGAACTACATTAAAGCTTTTAGTTGTAGACTAACATTGGATATACCAAAACCAAAAACCCATTGCTGTCGAGTCAATTCTGACTCATAGTGACCCTGTAGGACAGAGGAGAACTGCCCCATAAGGTTTCCAAGGCTGTAATCTTTGTGGAAGCAGATTGTCTCATCTTTCTCCGATGGAGCTGCAGGTGGGTTGGAACCTCCAACCTTTCAATCAGCAAATAAGCGCTATAACAGCTGTGCTGCTAGGGCGTAGCACAGGCATAAGGGACAGATGGAAGTTCAAATAAGGCAACTTTACTTAAATCATGCTGACCAGAAAGTCTTTTGAAGACAAAGGTTTGCTTACTAAAACACACACACACACAAACTACCATTCCCCTGAGAATTAATCTATATGAAGGTGATATTTAAATAAGATGTATTAAAATGGAGTGCAAGAATTAAGCGAACAATACATTAAATTTTTAAGTATTTGAAAAACCATTTTGAAATATCGCACACCGACAAATGATATAAAATAACTCATCACAAGAACAGTTGGAATCCCCTGTATGCACTCTCTGATCTTATTGCTTTCCTTATCACCAGCTCCAAACTGGTGGGAGAAAACTTATGCCATGTATCCCTAAACTACACATATAATCTTTGAAAATGTAAAACTTTGTTAAAAACCGTATTCTTCCGTGTTGTGTCTTCTCCCGGCTCTCATTTATGGTAACTTGCCTTCTCCTATTGAGCTGTAAATTTGTATTCAGAGCTAGTTTATCTTGTGGGCTGAGTTGAGGCTGCACCTTTCTAGAGAATATCTATAATCTCTTCTACCAAGCAGCCCACTGCCTGAACAACTCAAGTTTCCCAGACTAGGCAGATGATGTAATTAAGAACTCCAAACCCAAGGGAAGGCAGGCTAAGGGTTGCAGTTTCTCAAACGGGAATTCTTTTTTCCTTCCCTAGAGCCCAAGGTAAGACAAACAAGCTTCCTTTGCCAATAGCTGATTTTTTTTTTTTTGTCTACTCGTTCATTGAGTGTATAATCTTTCCGGGGTTCCAGATTAATGCAGAAATCTCCACCTCATGCAAGTCCAAGATCTTCTCCTTTGTCCTCATGTTAAAACCCAAATCTCTTGATTACTGATACTGGCAAAATCATATCGCGTTAGTAATTACATACCACTCTGAGTTTAGTGCCCTCTTCAGGGTGGGCCCTTGGGAATTCCCCTTAATTTCATGTGAGCTTACTTAAGCGCTTAACGGGAGGTTTGGTGGTGCAAACGGTTTGTGCTCGTCTATTAACCTGAAGGTTGGCAGTTTGAACCCAGCCAGTGGCATCATGGATTCAGAGAGGCCTGGCAATCTGCTCCTGTAAAGATTACAGCCAAGAAAACCCTATGGAGCAGTTCTACTCTATAACATATGGGGTCGCCATGAGTTGGAATCAACTGAACACCAACGAATTTGGGTTTTCTTTTGTTCTATCTTATCCATAAACAACTTTATTTTTAATAACCATTACAGTATGTTACTATACCCCAAAATAAGTGTAAATTTTTAAAATATCTGGTGTGACACTATGACAGAAAGGTATTATCTATTTTGCCATAGCACCATCCGTCTCTACATATGACTTATAACTGAAATAGAGTAGTGGATTTTACAGTGGAGAAGTTACCTGTATGGTCCCTGTGTTCCTCTCTTATTGGGATTCTGTGTCCCAACAAGAACTTCAAATGATATGAGAATGTATTAGTGAAGATGACTTTTACTATTTCCTCAGGATACATTGCAGATAATTCTTCAATACTTTCTTCATCCAACAGTCCCATGACTGCCCTATCTGCCAGTATAAGAAGACAAAGTTATTGTAAGTACATTACTAAAAGGCACAAATTCAGGATGCCGTGTTCAATTGTTTTTTATGGAAATAAAACAAAATCAAACCTTGGCTTTGAGTAAATCAGACAGACTAAGAGGTTGGGGAAAGGCATTTCTAAAGTTCGGTCTAGATCTAATCAGAAGGAATATATGACATTGTCTTCATGTGTGTGATGATTGAGCCAATTTCAATCAGAGAAAATATCAACCATACCTCTGAAATTATTTACAGAAGAATTAGCAGTGCAACAAATCTAAAATGGTAGTAAAACAATGAATATATTTAATTAGACACTGGTTTACAGCAGGTAGAAATAACTATACAACTGTATTTTTCTTTAACAACCCTGACAGTATGCTTAATGTGCTCAAAAAAAAAAAGAAGTGAACATTTTTATATATGTACAGTGACAATATTGACATTACTAAATCTTTATTTTTTGAAAATATTTTCTTTAACTCCATATAGCTGTTTTATTAAGACTGAAAGAATGAATGGTGGCCACTTGGGTGGCACAAATGGTTAGGCACAAGACTGCAAGCCTAAAGGCCAATGGTTCAAACCCACCCAGAGTCACCTCAGAAACAGGTCTGGCAATCTGCTTTCAAAAGGTCACACACAGCCTTGAAAACCTTATGGAGCAATTCTGCTCTGCACTCATGGGGTCACCATGACAAGATATCTTAAATACCATTCATTTAGTCAACAGATTAAAAAAAAGAAAAAAACTGAAGGAATGAGAAGGAATACAAAAAAAGCTCTGGATTGGGGTGAGAATGTTGACGATAAAAGGGGAGGGAGCAGGCGGCATGTATTCTAACAGAACTGAATTTTATTCTAGAGTTTATCACTTAAATTTGTGTGATCATGAGCAAGTCACTCAACCTCTACTAGTCAATTTCAATATTTGTGAAATAAACTTAATAATACCTATTATTATAGATTATTAATACAGAATACAGAACAATATAATACAAGGTATTATTATTGCAGAATTAAATCTATTATTACAGAATAAAGGAGTCTCTGGTTGGTCCAAATGGTTAACATGCTCAACTGTTAACCAAAAATTTAGAGGTTCAAGTCCATACAGAGGCACACTGGAAGAAAAGCCTGGTGATTAACTTCTGAAAAATCAGCCATTGAAGACCCTATGGAGGACAGTTCCACTCTGACATGCATGGGGTTGTCATGAGTCAGATTTGACTCACTGGCAACTTTTTTTACAGAATAAAATCTCTGTAGAGGTATGGCACACAGTAGCATTTAATGAAAAGTTATCTTAACTGCATGTGGCTTTGAATGAGAGTACTGAGAAGCGCAACCAAGAGATGTTGGGACTCTCAGGAGAACAGCTGTGAAATAGAGGGTGAGAGCAAATATGTCTCAGCATAGGTTGGGAAGATGGGCTTTAGGTGAACAGTTCAGATCTGGTACGATCTTGAATCAGATGTGGCTTCAGTGTTTGTAGACAAGATGAGCCATACAGACATTCAGACTCAGGTAGGAGTAATGGTGTGAATTATCATAGGAAACCAAGTTTGGGATGGTTCACATCCACCTGGTCCATCAATGGACAATGAAACAAAGACAGGAAGGAAAAGTCCAATATATTCTGGGAACTATGACCACGAGGAGTCTAAATACCAAGTGCCTTAACACAGGCTACAAAGAGTTTTGATTTCTGGATACTGAATACAGATAGGGTCAGAAACCAAGCACAAAATAAACGATTACCTGGACCAGGGTGGAATTATGAACTGAGAAAGAGAAGTGAGGTTATGTAGGCTGCCAGTGACTGCGTAAAGCAGAATCCATGGGTTCTTGCAATTACGCCCATGGTGAGGAATTATGGTGCTTAAAATTATTACCAATTACCTTCTGAGTCTCTTTTTACATTTTTAAAATTAAGATATCATTCACATAGCAAAAAATTCACCCTTTTCAAGTGTGCAATTCTGTGGGTTTAGTATATTCAAAAAGTTTTGTAAGCTTTAAGTCACTATTAAATTGTAACTCAACTCATATTTATGAGGCAATCACCGTGGATTCCCCTTTGTGGGTATGCATTTATATGCATAAAGAACATCTGTTGTTTTTATCTACCTGACATCCAATTAGCCTTCTAGTAAACATCCTAAGATACATTTGGAATACTGCCTCTCCTCCACTCTCAATCCATGCCATTTGGATGTGGTATGTGGGTGGACCTGGGGAGCAACCATGGGCATTGACAGTACTGCATCCCCCTATCCAAAGAGATTAGTTCTTAGTGGGTCAAGACCAAGACTAACCCAAAGTAGCCCATTTGAACCAATGGGTATAAGCCTTGAGTTTTACTTTTTTTTTAAATATTGGTAAAGATCTGTTCTCCCTTCATTGAGGCTATCTGGTAGGGTTTAGATCTGGAGATTCTGCAGACCAATTCTGCCTCTGGGAAGAGCCAACCTGTGAATAAAGCCATCACACAGAATCATAAACCTGAGAGGTTGAGACATAGTTCTTCTTCTGTTGATATTCCTCTATCCACCAGTATCATACTGAGGTGTAATCTATACTGAAGGCTGTAGTTTTTGATCTTCATTAGTAAGTGTTTCAAGTCCTCTTCACTTTCAGCTAGCAAGAAGAATTGATGCATTTGAATTATGGTGTTGGTGTAGAATATTGAATATACCATGGACTGCCAGAAGAATGAACAAATCCGTCTTGGAAGAAGTACAGCCAGAATGTTCCTTAGAAGCAAGGATGGTGAGATTTCATCTCATGTACTTTGGACATGTTATCAGCAGGGACCAGTCCCTGAAGAAAGACATTATGTTTGGTAAAGTGGAGGGTCAGCAAAAAAGGGAAGACCCTCAACGAGATGGATTGACACAGTGACTGCAACAATGGGCTCAAACATAGCAACGATTGTGAGTATGGTGCAGGACCAGGCAGTGTTTCGTTCTGTTGTGCATGAGGTCTCTGAGTCAGGACTGAGTTGATGGCACCTAACAACAACAGCAGCAGCAGCAGCAGCATCATAAAGAGGCAAGAGAACTGGGCTTAGAGCCAGAGGAGCACTCTGGTTGTACTTCTTCCAGGACTGACTTGTTCATTCTTCTGGCAGTCCACGATATATTCAATATTCTTCAACAACATCATAATTCAAAGGCATCAATTCTTCTTCGGTCTTCCTTATTCATTGTTCAGCTTTCGCATGCATACAAGGCAATTGAAAATATCATGGCTCGGGTCAGGTGCACCTTAGTCCTCAAAGTGATATCTTTGCTTTTTAACACTTTAAAGAGATCTTTTGCAGCAGATTCGCCCAGTGCAATACGAGGCTGATTCCCCACTATTTCAGGAAATTTTTATAAAAACAATCTTGATAGTAATACTTCTCTTCTTAAATGTTCATTGATAAGTACCCTAACTCTGAAGAATGAAATTTGAAACACAGAATACTCAATTGAATCTTCAAATCTAGTAAGAAAATCTTCTTTTACGTTAAAAAGTGAAGATAAAATTCTTATAATCAAACTCAAGAAAAGAGAAAACTGACTGTTCTTTGCCCATAATAACAAGCAAACCCTATAGCAACAGTCTCATTCTAGTAACAATGCTACCACAGCTATGTGTCAGCAAACCCCTAAACAATGCTTTTCAATGTCTTGCAGTCTGTGCATTCCATGCTTCCCAAAGTTTTCCTTGTTGAAAGACTTGTACTTCAACTGGTAATCTGATGCTTGCCAAGCAATACGTTCAGTTTTGATTCAGATATTGAATAATGGCCTCTTACTTCCAACAAAGTGAAAGTATATTAATGTTTCACATAACACAGGAATTTTGACAATTGACATATTTTATCAACTGAAATGCAAATTAAATGCATGCATCTGTGGTCAAAGTGAACCAAATCTTGACTTTAGAAATTCTTGTTGGGTTTTTAGAAAACTCACCTGTCATAAAGGGGGCTGAGGATACTTTATTCATTATCTGTTGGGTTGTATTGGTGACGGGTGTGTATGCCATAATATAGTCAGAATCTTTAAATGAATCTACACGTCCCAGGTCCACAGTGGGCATCGAAGAGAAATCATTAACATGATGGATATAAGGAGATAGGTACAAACAAAGTAGTAGGAGGGATGAGATCAACAATTCCTACACAATCCAAGAGAAAGAGTAAATAAAATTATGATTCCAAAGCAGTCATCTACAATCAATTTTGTCATATAGATTGCTTCTCTTTGTCCACTTTTTTAATTTCAATATACACCACATAATGAACCTTTTAAAATATGTACAATACAAAAGTCAGTGGGCTCAGTAATCCCAAGGAATTATCAACTGGAATGCAAATTTACTGATCCTCAGCACTAGTGCTAAAGCTTGCACTGGATCATTCAAGACATCAGAAGTGACGATGGCAAACGATGATGAATTACTATCATCTGTTGTTACCTTGATGACTCACTTATGCCGTATTTGATTCTGCTGAGAGCTTATGTGTTCCAAGAGACAATTCCAAGGCATTGATCACTTAGTCACATGCCAAGATTCTGGAATTGGAAATTCAATAGAATGCGGACAACCTGAGAAACACTGGCTTGGTTAACTAGTTATGAGTCCTGGTCCCTTGCAACCTTCCAGTAATAAGTCATTTAATATTTCTAAAATGCATGATCTTAGAAAAAATCCACAATGGATATACAATACAATTCCAATTTAGTTAAAAATGTTACCTAACTCTATCTGATTACTAAAGGGTACTAAACTCTAACTGGGATTTTTGTTAGATGGTGAGATTATCAGAGCTCATGTTAATTTTCTTCTAGGTAATTAATACATTTCCAACTTTTCCACCATTTTTGCAGCATTTTTGAATGATTTTTTAAGAGACAGGAAGATCCAGAAGAGAAAATGCCAGTTACCTGTTTCTTTAAACAGGTGTTTTATGGTGTTTTTGTTTACCGTATCTTCAAAATACTGCTATCTTAACCCTAGTATCAATGGGTAGGAGCATTAATAAAAAGTGCAACCTTTGGCTTTTAAAACATGTATAGCATTCTCAATTGCTGATGAGCTTTGTGTGTTTAGGCCTTAATTTACGGCCTTGTGTCTACTGAAATGTCTTCAGACTGATTCATGGTCTGAGGAACAGCTTCTTCTGTACTATACAGGTGCTTTATTTTGGGGGAAGACATACAAAGCATATATACCAACCAGGGAAATACATTTTCCTATAATAAATATGAAGTGACATAGATATTGAATCATACCATTAAGGAGTCTCTTTTCATCCTCCATTTTTTAAGAACATTCTTGCATAATAAGGCCCCAGTTTGTTGACACAGTCTTATCTTTCTCTTACTCATTTTGCCCTGTTTAATGAGAAGGAAAGGAAAAGGTTAAAGTAAATGTGAAGGTCTTAATAAGACATTTCCTGCAAATGAAGAGTCACCTGATAACTCCAGCGTACCAAATGAGTGACTTCTGAGGGAAGTGGCCTCCTCCCTCTATGGCTATATTGGCCATGAGATAAGAATCACAAGGTTGCTATGCACTCCTCCATAGTGACAAGGAGTAGGTGTGTCCCCACCTGAAGCCCTCATCTTATTCGTGGGACAGGGTCATGCTCAGGGTGATGCTATTTCCTAGAGACAAAGCTGAGATGTCCAGGGGCCCGTTCCAACAGGAGGCGTATCAGCCAAGGCTGCCTCAGACGGCATTGCCAGAGGAAGACCACACATGGCTTCTGAATGAAATTATAACTTTTCTTGAGCTCTTTAGAGAGCTAATATCACAAGGCAACCAGGTGAACTGAATTCCAAATGGTAAAAGTCACCTCCAAGGATGGATGGGATCCATGAACAAACAGACCCATGAACTACTTTGGCAGAGTATGAGCAGAAGACACGGTAACCATAAAAGTGGATAAAAGGAAAACAGCTGGAATGTTAACAAATCCTCAAAGGCTTCTAGCATAATTGTTTACAATTCCTGGAATTCCCAAACACAAGGGGCATCCATGCTCATTCATCCACTTCTTTCCCACAGTCCCACTGGGTACTCACAACAAAGATCAGGGCAGACCAAGGGACTGAGACACCCTTCAGAAGCTCACAGGCCACAAAACCCGCCCACTTCTTACAATGTTTTCCCCTAAGAGCAATAGCTGTCATCCTCAGGGGAGGAAAAGGAAGCCCTGTTAGCCCCACACAAGATCTGCTGAGGGAGGGACAGTGGGTAAATCCTCCTGCGTCCATCTGCACTCCGCACCTGCACTCCCATTACAATCTTTCTAAGGGACCAGTAGAAGCAAAGCCATTTTCCCCTGGGGAAGGGGAAGGAAATCACCTTTCCCCAACCACTAGTCTTGTACCAAGTAAAAAACAACAGCTGTCTACTGCTCAGTGTAGGGTAGGAAATATACCACCCCCATTTCCAAGGAAAGATCAGTTGCTGTCTAGACCCAGCACTGATACTAAGAGGGATCTGCTGTCACTGAAGGAGGGAGAGGAATATAACTCACATATTCAAGACCTCTCAACAGATACATGGTGGGATTTCGTTTCCATATAGTGAAAGAAAAATGCTGAGAAAGTTCCACCCCAAGTCCCAGGTCCACAGCACCTACCACTGAGACTGGACAGGAAGTCTAGAACTCCCCTTGCCCTCACTTCAAGCACTGTGCTGAGCACCAAGTTACAACATTCAATGGATGGGGTAGAGGTTAGAGAATGGAGAGGGACTCCCTATGTGGCTCATATGTGCAGGGCCTGTTGCAAGCTAAAGATGGAAAAGGAACTCAGAGAAAAAACCTATAGCTCCTCAGGCCCCACAAGAGCACAGATTAGCAGCAATGCACTATTTGATAAATTTCAAGCATGAGTTGCTCTGAAGGTAATTATAACAACAACAAAATCCAAATCCAGCTCAACTACTAATGATATTGACTCAACTTCCTACACTGCTCCCTGACATGTACCCATTTCCAGCATAAATACTAATTATCTTAGTCTCTATTGTTCAGGCCAGTATTACAGCAACAATTTGTGAGAACATAAAAAAGCAAGAAAAAAAGAATCTATTGTCAATAGATAGTAAACAGACACACACTCAGAGATGACCCTGGTGTTGGGACTATCAGGCAAGAACTTTAAAATAACCATGATCAATGTAGTAAAAGATCTGGCTGAACAGGTGAACAACCTATGAGCCCATTGACAACTTTAGCAGAGAAATGAAAGCAATTATAAACAGTGTAGTGGGAATGCTTACCAAAAAAGCCCACAATATCATAAATGTAGAGTTCCTTGACATATTTATTCACAGGGTGGACATAGCAGAGGTGAAATCAGTGACTTAAAGATAGGTCAATAGAAATTATCTGTGTTTGTTAATCTGATAGGAGTGTAGGGCATCTCATTATTATTCGTATTGCCCTGTTTTCCACAGAAGTTGAGAATCTTCTTACATGTTGAATGGCTATTTAGATTTCTTATGCAAATAGGCTTTTCATATAAAATTGGATTTATTTTTGGGAGATCCTCATTTAAAAATCTGTCTCCTGAGACTTCTGGCAACATGGCGCTCTAGGCAGAAGCACCACGCCGTCCCTCCACAGCAAAGATCTGAAAAACTAAGCCAAACAGAGAAAACAGCAATCCTGAAACCCTAAAACATCAAAGAACTCAGCCAGGCACCAGATGGAGTGAGAAACTGACAGAGAACAGAGAGTGAGGAGAGATTTATGCAGAGGTCCCCATCAGCTAACGCAGCGTAGATCCACCATCTTGGACTCCTATTGGAGCCCAGCAAACAAGGGGTATGAGAAAGCAGCTTCATGGAGCTTCCAGCAGGAGACAGAACAACTGTCTCTCATCTCTCCACTCCAATGGCAAGCTGCCCAAGCACTCTTTTCTGTTTGTACGTTTTTGGCTCCTGTTCCTCTCTCCTCTCTCCCATGCCCATCTTAGCTCCACACATCACAGTCTCCCCCCTTCATCCTGCCTATCTGCACTGTGCACTTAATGTCACACCACCAAGCAGCACAGGCATGGCCTACCAGAATCTGCCCTGCACTGATTACCAATCGCCCTAGTGGCTGTAGTAAGTGCCAAAAACAACCCATCCTAGCAACTCTTCTTCAGCTAGACCTGCCCTGCTGTACCATATCTGAGCAACTGACCCTGCCAATTGGAGAAGGAGGAGAAAAGTATCGTGCTCACAGACGAACAAACAACAAAGAACAAACAGCCCGCCTGCTCAGACAGACGAATTAAAAAAAAAAAAAAAGGATGAAACAAACAAGTCTACAATCAACAAATGAGAAAAATAACTACTGAATGCCCCGAAGACAGCAGACAATATCAAAACATTTACAAAAACAGGACAGGATGGTTCCAGTAGGTGTCCAAAATAAAACACCAGATGACTTTCC